CGACGTTTATCCACAAACTGGTCCCAGATTAAGCTCCAAAGTTTTTATCAGTCAGATTCCACCATGAAAAATGTCTGTTTTACCCCCTTTTATGAGTTTTTGGCCATTGACTATCTTTAAATCGCTGCTTCCTGGTACAACAGTCGGCTCTGAAAGCAATTGCTTTTTTCTTCTTTTTTTTCCTTTCTTTTTTTGAAGCGAGTGGTTGAAGCAAATGCWGCATAAGAGCCCCCTGGTGGCTGAAGAAAAAAATCCACGTATAAGCCTCATGGTTCAAAGTTCAGTAAAAAAAGTCATGGCTTATAGTCCGAAAAATACGGTAATCAGTTACAAAATTTCCTTCACAACTACGTCAGTGAGAGCAGATTTCGCAGCTTAAAAAGGGCTCTTGAAGTACYTGATGTATAATTTTGATATCTAAACTTAAGAATCAAAAATGATCGTACATACTTCTTTATCCTGATTAGTTCTTCCTTGCTTGTTTTTGCTGCAACACTTTATAATAAGATAAAAGGCCCAGTCAAATTCCTTCCTTCATTTAAAAAAAATAGCAGAACAAGAGACTTGTATCTTGAGTCTCATACATGAAGCGCCACCAACAGTTGTACAGCATAGGTCCACGCATTATATAGGAAAAGAAAACCTTTAGTCCTGCACATCTGAAAACATTGACACTATAAATAAGCAAACACATGCTTTGAAGGGCTTAAACAAACTGTCATTTTAACTGCACACACCCAGAGGCATTCACGTCTTTACGCTACATCCCAGCTCCAAGTGATGGYTTGTATGTCCTGTTGGTAAAGCTGTGCCTCAGAGAGATGGAGTAAAAGAACAAACGTGTAAAATGGGTCAGTACCTGAATATCATTACTCCCCACATGTATTCTTAGTGTGTGTCAGTTTCCATGAGAGAGATGGGTTCTGATGAATCTGCGTATCACCACCGTGTTGTTGCGAGTTTGGAAAAACTGCAGCCCAACAACTTTCCCACTCGGAGCGTTAACTCTTGTGGGGAATAAAGATCAGCTATGGAGAGTGGTGTGTGAYTATGTGTGTGCTGAAAGGGCTGTATGTGAAAGAGCACACGGGGATCCTGTGTCAGGAGTGTGTGAAACCATGTCATGACCCAGTTTCTGCTCTGGCTTAGAAATTCAAAACACAATGCTAGAGACAGAGAGGGTTATCTGTATGCAGGCACGGCAGTGGCATTCTACATTCTCACTTCCTGGGCCGAGGTGAGCCGATGAATATTGTACGAGGTGAGCCCCAGCTGATCCTGGCGGTGTTTACAYGGAGAAAACTCATCTCCACATATGGATGAGATGCTGATAAACAGCAGAGATCGGCATTAGAGAGTCAGGTGTGCTGGACGGCCTGTTTGCACCGCCGACACRAATCTCCCCTCCCAGCACCTCCATTTGATATCCATTTGCTGCGCCCGCTGCACGCATGTAGAACTGTCATAAAATGGTTCACGATGGGGGATTTTATTTTARGGGGGTTGACAATTTGTGACTGCACATCAGCGTTCTGGTCTCTGCAGAGAATAAAATATTTAGGTTTTGGCTGAGCATRTTGCTGACACAAACGAGAAGAGTAACAGCAAAGCCTCTGTAATCATTTGTATTCACTAGGCTTGTGATGTGTAAAACTGTTTCTCTTTTTGGGTTCTTTTTCTCTTCACAGTCCGTTCCAAAACCCATTGCCCTTGAGCCTTGCTTTGGCAACAAAGCTGCTGTGCTCTCAATCTTTGTTCGGTTACCCAGGGGCTCCGGTGGCATCCCTCCTCCAGGACAGTCTGGTAAGATCTTCTGCTGGATTCTTCGTTTCTTCTTTTTGGCCTGATACGTCTTTATGTCTTGTTTTGATCCAGTTTCCTGTCTTTGTTCCATGTTTTGTAGCTGCAACTAGTTGGATGATGACAGTTTTAGGCCTTTCATCATCTTCTAGCTTTCTTTTTCTCTTGTTTTCCCTCCTTGACTTTCCTGATAGCCACACGCTAACACAAACTCATACATTTGAAGTTTTACTCAATTTAAATGCTTATTTTGGCCAAAGTTATATTTTTGCAAATTGTCTCAAGGTTTCCTATAATTTTGTTAACCTATAATTTACATAAAATGTTTCAGAAATAAATTCTTAAATATAAAATCTTGGTCTAAAGACAGATTCTCTAGCAGCGCCCCTATCTACCTGGCAGGTGACAGAACATCAWCTCAAGGTAAAAGCTGGCTGTGTGTGACGTCGAGGTCTGACCAAAGCTGAGCACAGAACGCTTCGCCCTTCTGGTTAAAACCACATTATTTAAGATAAAGTGTAGAAAAGCTAACACCTTTCTTCAACCTTTTTCTTAACCTTGCCTTTGCCAACTCCTAAGATAAACAGCCTCAAATGTCTGGTGTTTAACATCTAATCTGACGTTTGTGTTTCTATTTAAGTGTGGTTAACAATTAAGACGTTAAAAGCTTGTTATTGTTGGTCCCAAAACTTTATAGGAAATTAATTGTTCACAATCAGGTGTACTCTACTTAATTTTGTATGATTTGTGAAATAAACGATCGCATATTATGGTTCAAATCAACATTCATTGACTGAGAGTTACTTTTTGTGTCCATTCATTCTTGCACTAAAGAAATGTTTATCCAAAATAAAAGAGATCCTTGCTAATTAAATTACTCTTATAACCTTGTTATAAGAAGTGTAAGCTGACCCTTACAAATGGGACTTCTTTCTCAATATGTTTAGACAGTTTGACTGACTTCAGTTTGTTGCCTTTCAAAGCAAAGGTGAAAAAGGTGAAAGATTTAGTTTTTACTTGTTGTTCGTGCGTTAAAGTATCTCATAAACTACTGGACAAATCTTTTATGAAACTTTCAGGAATGTATTGTGCTTTTACAAAAGATCTTAAGGTGACATAAAAAAACTCAAACCTAACTCAAAACCTTTACAGATTCTGCTCTAAACGTTTGTGTGACCAAAGCTGAGAATCACTTAATACGGAGTCTAAGCTTGAGAGTTCACATTAGATCAAACTTAATGTTATTTTCTAAGTTTGACTAAAAACAGTTAAACTTTAGAAATATTTTTTAATCAGCTCTTAAGTTTATCAGATAATTGTGATTAGCAGCACTCAGTCCTTTTAGCAGTGATTCATTCGTAAGCAAGCAGAAAGCGTCAACCTAGCTTTTTCTCTGTTTCAGCATTCTAGCTTCTTTGTTTTGTTTTAAGAATCAAATGACAAAATGTAATATGAGTTTTATTGAGTTTATCTCTGTACCTAATTTGAGACTTAGTCTTTAAAAAAGATCACTTTTCCTCAGTGCATAAACTCTTATTTTCATTACTTATATGCATTTCGATATTAAACATGAATTTATAGAACAGAATACAAGTAATTATATACATGTATTTTTATGCATAAATCCTTAGTAGTTATTTTTTTTTCTCTAAAAATTCAATTGTTTTCTTTATTACCTCTATGACATGTCACAATGCAGAACGTTTTAACTAGGGCTGTCAAATGATTAATATTTTTAACCTGATTAATCCCAAAGTAGCTGTGAATTAATCATGATTAATCTTAAATTTAATATGCATTTCTATTTCATATTGATAAAATAAATTACTTGAGTTATTAATTAGTTTTTAATGTTTTWATTTAGAAAACAAAATTGATGCTTAGACATGATTTTYTGAATATAAAACAGGACCTAAAAAAATTCTCCAAACATATTTGAGTCAGTTAAATTTTGTGCAGAATAATGAGGTTAAATCAAGAATTCAAGGATTTTCATTCCAAATGAGAACATGAGGAATGAAAGGTAGATACTAAGGTCACAGTTGTCAGCAAAACATAAATAAATAAAATAAAATAAACCATAAGAACACAAAAAGAAAAAAACTGTACATAATGTGTTACACACGAAGTTTATTTTATTTTATTTTCTTTATTTAACCTTTATTTATCCAGGTAAACTGTTGGAGAACCACTTCTTATTTACAAACATGACCTGGCATGATGCACTGAGTGCATTGTAATATACAAACCTACATATTCAGCCATAGTAAAGTGATTGTAAATTTTAATCACGATTAAAAATTTTAATCTGTGCTCATGCAGCACTAAAATTAATCAGAGTTAACGCGGTTAATTTCCCAGCTCTAGTTTTAACATAAACAATATCAGGGCTCAAAAAAAAAAAAGTTTTGAAACTATCTCTACTAATTTGTACTGTTGTTGTTTGTGTGTGTGGTTGCGTGGGTACTCGTGTGTGTGTGCTTTTGTTCAGGTCTAGCCGTGGCGAGCGCGCTGGTGGACGTCTCCCAGCAGATGTGCGTCGGCTACAAGGAGAAGTCTGGAGGCTTGAGGAACCGTAAACAGCCGCCCAGTGCACAGCCATCCACCTGCATCTGAGTCCACCTGCTGGTTCCCTCCACCCCTACACACAACGCTCTTCATCAGCCCCGCCCCCCTACCCCAGCCTCCACTCCCCCCGCTTCGGCCTCCTCCCTCATAAACGTCCGCCAGCTCTGGTCTGGCAGGGAGAGGTGCATGCTGGGACATGAAACTGGAAGACTTTGGTGAGGTGACGCCTGGCAGAGCCTCCTCACAGGACTTCGTGTCCCCTCTAACTGATCAGAACTACCCGGCTGGAGGGAGTGATGAGGAGGAAAGGGAGGAACAAAGGACACACTGACTCCTCCTCTCCGCCTCAGAACATGTTTTACATTCGTCAGCACCGCCTAGACAGAGTCCAGGCGGCCACGGCTTGCTGCTAGAAGAGATCCTTGTCTTGTGGTTTTTCAAACGGCCAGAGACCATTCAGCCCTCAATGTTGATGTTTTAAGTTATTCGTTATCTTTGTGTTGTATTATTGTTTTAAAGGAAGGAGCAAACTGGAACAAAACTTCACTGCACTCAAACACACACTTCCAAAGGCAACTTTCCAAGTTATTATACCCATTTGTCACCTCAGAGCGAACTAAAGGCGTGTTCAGACGAGTCACTGTAAGAGAGCCCAAACAGCCAAATACAGTCAGAGTCTGACACCCGTCTCCTCGGCTGCTGTCCTGTGTGTGGCCTTTCTCAAACTGCATCTCTTTAACTATTTGGCTGCTGAGCTGTCTGCCTTACCAGCCTGGATTACCAAACAAATCTCCAGCATCATCTCACCCATGCTGATTTTATTTGCCAGAACGATTGAGCTTCTTCCTGCTAATTACCCCTCCTTTAAAAGTGAAAGTCAGCAGCTTCGTACACACAGCTATCCCTGCTGAGCTCTGCAAAGTCAGAAACACTGGTGTTGAGAAAGTTAGCTACTGATTGTCCTCTTTGTTGGTGCAGAGCCCTGAGCACATGTGAAACTGGCTTGCTGAAGAATGGTCTGACTGACTGAAGTGATTAAAGTAGTTCCCTGCTGGTCTGGGACTGTTGGTGACTACAAGCAAAATGCGTGCGAATAGGTAAAAAATAAAAAAATCCTTCAGCCTTGCTGCCAGTTTTTGAAAARTCACAGCTTATTTTTGTGAGGACACGTGAAACGTTTGGAGACGTCCTGGAGACTTCCTCATGAATGTTCTCCAACCGGTCGCCAACAGCCCGCTGAAACTCTGACTTTAGTCTGATTTGTGTCACTGGAGCCATGGCAGCACTTTTCATTTGTGTTTTTGCCTATAAAATCTATACTTTTACATTTTTTATGTTGTTCTTACCCATGCACTACTTCTACCCCATGGCCCTTAATTCAGAGTCATAAAAGAGTAACATTTAAAATATTCCACTGCGACAGGAGCTAGCCCTTAAATAAACTGATGCACCAAACAAACATGCATTATGTCAAAACCCCTACATGAAACAGAAATCTACATATCAAGCCTGCAACATGTAAAACACTATATTTAGTTTTTTTACACTAAAGATAAATGATACCAAATGCAATTCATTGGAATATTTTACACTCATCATTTCAGTGGTTGGGAAAGTAAAGTTTAAAAAAATGCGACGCTGTTTTCGCTTCTTTTTATGTTTAAGGTTAAGTGATGATACCAAATGTATTACAYTGGAATGAATCAAAATAGGCACTTTTTTTGTCAGTAAAAATATCTTTAAAAAGCTTTTGTGAGGTTTTAATCTTTTTAAAGTGCATCCCACAGAAAAGCCATCATTTAAGCTATAATCTCTCGTCACTACTTAGTGTTTCTGAGTTGGTCTGAGCAGTTTGACCTCGAGAACAATAAAGTTTAGTCTCTAAGTTTTAGGGTTTATGTATTAAGATGTAATAAAACTGATCTGGTTTTTATCTGGTTCTAAAACTATTCAAATCTAATCTCCAGTGTATAAAGACACCACAGATTTTACAATGTTATTTAATAACACAAAAGAAACTGAATGGTAAAGTTTTGTCTGAAAGAACCAACTTTATGGTGTGATAGTGTTCTGTATTAGTCTTTCACATTGTTGTGGAGAAATGTTGGCCCACTTTTCTTTTCTTCAGTTTGAGGTTTACAGGCATTTGTTTCGGCATCTTTCTCTCAAAGTACCTGCCACAGTATTTGACCAAACTGCGCTGTCCCACGTTGGTCCTTTTTATTTTCTCACCACTTTTTTTGTAAATTTGTTGATCTGTTTGTGATCATTGTCGTCTTGATTGATTGCATCCAAGCTATTGCTGACATTGCAACAAATCTAGGCTGTGTCCAAAACGGCAGGCCGGGTCCTCCGAAGGCCGAATTTGTCAAAAACAAATACGTCCTTCCTTTGGCCCGAATCGAAGGACTGGTCTGATGGATCCTTCCCGGCCCAGCATATCCCATAATGC